TGATGGAGTCGGTGTTTATGATTCGCGGTTCGAACCAAGTTTATCCCCAGTTTAACTATGATTATTTTGATTTGCTCACTAACTTCAGGTAACTGCATTGCTAGTAGTGATAGTTTCACCCTAAACGTCCGTCACTGGAAGAGAAATGAGTCTGCTCTAAGCAAACAAACAATACAACAAATTATTATTAAGTTAAATAGAAACATGATTTTGTATTTCGGCCTATACTCATGAAAGACAAAATTAGGGAAATAGTAAAATTATATTGCTACGCATCTGTCCATAGACAAATGTCCTCTAGGTAGCGTCACAATGCAGAGGTCAGACGCCTTGTGACGTCCACAGTCATTCAGCTGGCCAAGAAATTCCCCGCCTTTTATGGAAGACCAAGGCTAATTACTGTGATCATAAAAGAGCCTGTCACTCTGCCGTACCCCGAGCTAGGTGAATCTAGTCTGCATTCTCTGTAACATTAATCTTAATGTTATCCTGCCACCTATGCAAATTCATTTCAAGTGGTCTCTTGATTTCAGGATATCTAATCAAAATTTCATATTGTTCATTCCTGCTGCATGTCCTGCCCATCGAACCCTCTTTGATTATATCGCCCTATTAATATTTTTCGAAAAGTACAAATTTTGTGTCCCACTACTATGCTGTTTTTTCTGCCCTAATAAATACATAGGCCTATATAGCCTATCGTCTTATATTTTAAGTACATCTTAATCAATAAATGATCGATGGGTTAAAAGAGGCCTTAGTTATTTCATTGCGCGTCCGAGAGGTCTAAGGCATGAAATGTCTTCGCCCGTTCGAACACTGAGATTGTGGGTTCGAATCCCGCTCAAGGCATGGATGTCTGTCTGCGTTAATTCTGAGTTTGTGTTCTCTTATGTAGGTAGCAGATTTGAGTCTGGCTGATCCCCCGTCCAAGGAGTTCTACCGACTGTCTATTAAAAAACTGAAGCGGAAAAAGCTTTTCCCTGATGCCCTGCTCTCCAAGTGGGAGCAACAGGAAGTAGATAGATAGAAAGAAAGATTAGATAGATGACTAATTAAAATTTTTTATTTTCATCTGCGGTACAATTCTTTTAACTTGATTCCTTTGGTGGCGCGGTTAAGGCACGAAATATCTACGTCCGCTCGAATGCTGCAATCGTGGGTTCGAATCCCATTCGTAGCATGGCTATATGTCTGAGTTTCTTGTGTTTATGTTGTCATGTGTAGACAGAAGTCTTGCGGCGGACTGATGCCTCATCTAAGGAGAACCTACCTACTGTCCGTGAGATTAAAAGTTTCACATTAATCCTGAATGGTTAGAGGCCAGAGGGCCTAATCCTTCAAATGAAGAAGAAGAAGAAGAAGAACAGTGCACTTCAAATACTCTTTCATGATCCTGCGAATATTTTAGAATCCTAATTAGCTGCTGTTATTAAAGCCACATTAAAGAATAAATTTAAAATTTCATGATAGAACATTGTAAGGACTCTTTATATGCTGGAATGTAAGAACATCCATAAAAACGAACCACAAATATTTACACGATGAAGTTCCTTAAGACGAATTCATTCATTCTGAAAAGACTATATACTGGTATTAGAGGAATATAAGTATGTAATTAATACATTGGGCCTATTTGGATAATACCTATGAGATCAAAAGCCTGTAACAAGACATTAGCCTTTACGTATTCTTCTAAGAAACTGCATACTCAGTACTCAGCTGGGAAGGAAAAGGACGTACGGTCATATAGCGGACTCCAACTACTGTATCCATGGTTGGAGACAAGAGGTTCGACACTTAATGCAAATTACATCGTTTCGGAAGATGTCTAATTGCATGAAGAATTTTACGGTTAAAAATGAGAGTAATTAGCCGACAATGAAACAGTAGCCACTGAGATGACAATGATTAGCGTAATTGTTTAGTGTTCAAAACGTCCTCGGCTCGAACACAAATTAAGGCTATTAATGCCAAAAACAAAAGAAGGGACAAGAAATATATCAGTAGAACAAATTTTTTTTAAATGTCCTGTATATTAGATATCCCTTAGAAAATGCCCAATATCCAGCATAACATTAGCATAACGAATGGACCAACGGTCTCAAATTTCGAGAACTAGCATGAACGCTATAAGTCAGAGTTAACTGTTCTGAAAACATAATTTTTTCAGTTTCGTTTTAGCAGTGAACTCATATGAAGGGCCAATTATGCTTTATATTATATTATATTATATATATATATATATATTTACAATATTTATCCAGTCTTGTGGCACATAATACACTATTGTTACTATAAGCCTATAGGGATTTCTATCTATGTATCCGATTGCTTGCATAAAAAATATTTACGAATGAGATTTACTATTAAGAATGAAGCTCAGTGGATAGTCACATTATGAACAGGTAATAGGTCACAAGTAATTATGAGATACAAATCAAAGGCGGATGATAGAAACATTTGGTGTAATGACGTTAAACTTGAGGGAGCATAAAAATATGATTCTAAAATCACTCCCCCTTCCCCAAGAAAAATCATTTATACTTTAATCGCGTATATTATACCAATAACTGGTAGCAAGCCTGCTGCTACTGCATTCACCGCAGAATTAATAATACATATTTCGTAATTAAGTTCCAGGCATAAATACAAAACAAAAAAAATTATGAAGTCTTTAACGCGTCTTTTTTAAGTTTTTGTGGCATTATGAATACAAATTCTATGGGGGATAAAATTGTCACCCACTTATTTCGTATAGTTTGGAGTGTAATTAGAAATTTCTATAGCTTCTCCTCTCAATTAATCTATAGGTACAGGTTGGGATAGTTTTACAGACGGACTATAAATGAGTAAGTATGAAAAAATAGTCGATACTTTCATATGACAAAAACACATGTCATTTATTTATGTAGTTGATTTGCTTTGAAATGTCAGTATACAAGAAAGAAGATGGCGGTCTACGCACAGACGTTATATATAGGCTATTCTTAAGAGTTTGAGATGCATTTTTATGCAATTGTTTATTATTCTTCATTTTAAAAACAAACAAAAATAAAACAAAACTAAATCAACAACTTGACGTAAAGATCACAATGTGCGGAGAGGGACCCCGCTTCTAGCGCATTGTAACACACAGAATATTCCATATGTTTTGAAGTTGGGACATAAACAGAAACAAACAAAGCTATTTGCAGTTATGTAATATTCATTGTGGTTATTTTTTTGAAAATGATTAAGAAATTTTATACCACTATAACTGCATTATAGGAGAAGTTCATGGAGGTAGGCCTAGGCCCACTGGGGCTGTAGTGCCAAGGAAAAAAAATAACTGCATTATTCTTCAAGTAATTTAGAGAAACGTTACTGAGTCTGTTTACATGGGCTACTAAGAACTTTGCCGCCGGAGAACGTGATACATTTCCAAACAATGGCTGATGTAAAGGATAAAATATATTAGCAAGTAGCAATTAACACACGTCAGGAACTTTTGAAGAATATCATATAAACCAGAAAAAAAAGAACTAATATTTCCAAATGTTTTCATGAATACTTTAAGCTCTTAAAGTGCCATAACCGACAATATAAACGACGAAGACTAAATGCATAAAATGAAACAGAACAGTTCTGAGTACGTAACATAAAAGTATCCGTCATTCTGAACTTTCTTATGTTAGCAGCGTCGTAGAACGCCTTCGATGCATGAAAATACTTAAAACTGCGTATTAACCGCAGTTATGTGATTCATTTTAATACCACTAATTCCATCAAAACTTGCATGGCACTTCCGGTCTAAAGCCGCACACAAACTTCATACAAATAAGTAACAGGCCAATCTGTCAAAATCATACGTATACCAGTGAAATGCAAAAACTTTGCAATGTTCATACTAGCAATCGAAGTTTTCTTTTTTAACTTCTGAGCTGAACGTATATTTAGGCTACGTTCTAAACCATCGAGGACCTAAAGCTCATAAAATATGAAGAGGCATTTAGCGAATTACCTGTACCGAATTGTATTAAAACGGACAGATGCCTTCATGGAAAATTCGAAAGCGGATATTATCCCGCGATGAAGCGCTGAAGCTGTGACTCCTGGGCCTATCTTCCGTTGAAGTATTCATAACCACTTTCTCCTCACGGAACTGAATTACGATAGGTCACATATATTTCTAGGTTAAGAGTACTCATAAATATAAATATTCCAATATATATCGTAATAAACGCATATTTCATGAGAACGCACGTTACAGGTAAGAAGAAGAAGGGCTGTGATGATCAGTGTTGAATTTCAGTTGTCATTCTGTACTTCCTGAACGTTAAATCTGCCACTGTTTGGAAATTTTTCAAATGGATATGATTTCAATTAATTTAATGCAATAAAATATGTATACAAATTCAATTTGTTATGATGTTACTTTTAAATGAAGCCGATTGTTTCAATTTTACATCAAAATATGTAGCCATACGTGAGAGAGGGAGATACAGCCAGTATTGAAGTTGCATAAATGTACACCGCAAAGTTCCCAGTATTATCCACACTGCGCAATATATAGGGACTTGATTTCTCAGTAAAAACGCTTGTTTATATGTCCTGCAAGTTGTTTGACACATTTCAGAAAAAGACTGCTAGTGCGACCAGGTATTTACGTCGTGAAGTGCGTGTCAGATTCTGTTGGAAACTCTAATATTCATCCTTATTTCGAGACTGGCTTTGATCACACTATGAGACTAGCAAGGCCAGTTGTGAGTTATATTTTCGTTCTAAATCAAATGGTATATATATTGCCACCTTAGAAACGCTTCATTTCGCAAAATGCTTTCTGCATTAGACGTGAGTCATTTTCAAAGGGAACAACAGTAAAAAAAAAAAAAAACATTAGGTAACTCAAATTTCAAGAGGGGCCCATATGTAGAAAACTTGCGTATATAAAACATAATAAAATGTGGTACTACATACGAATTTAAGGACTTCGTTTTGATGTAGAAATAAGATACTTATTACAAGTAAAACTCACAGTTTATTCATTCATGTTGGCACAAATACTTTCGTCGTGGTTCTTTAGAACTTATCTAGACTCTTTTGAAAAATGTTATAATTGCTTTTAAATCAACGTTCACAACATTAAATTATTACAGGTAATGAGCGGCTGAAAGCTCCTTTTTAACAAGAAAAACATATTCAATTTTTTTCTAAAATAATATAAAATTCGCTTTAGGAAACTACACAACAACAATCTGAATGCTTTTAACCTTTCAATTAATTTTAGTTTTAATATATGAATTTAAATTATTTCAGTACATGAAATGGCGTTTGAAAAACATTAAGTTATATACTCAAATGTGCGCGTGTGTGTGAGACGTTTGATAATTCAAGTTATGAACAAACGGACATATCTCCGGTGACTAAGTTAATACAATAAAATAAAACAACTGATTTAGAATATGACACAACTGTTTTACAGAAACAAAGTTCGTGATAATTTCGCCAAACATCTACCTAATCACATGACGACCAGACTTGTCTGCAAGTGCAGTTTTCTTCTTGCATAACAGACCTATCGGCAAATTATTGGGGACGTTCCTATTGCAGGCTATGTTCTCAAACATTGAAACAGATTGTGTGTTGGTACCCACCTAATATTCTCTTTCAAATATTAATTCTGTATCGTAAAAAATACTCCGCATATAATATTTACTTTCTTAATTACGAAATGAAAAAATCTGCTCTTATGTGCAAAGAGGACACTATTGTAATATGTACGTATATATTTATATATATTCTTTCTGAAAAATCGTTTTCTTGTTTCTTACTTTTATTTTGGTTCCATATATTACTGTTTCTTTTATTAGTCTGTTTTCCTGAAGAAGCACTAGTAACAGCACACGAATATTTCCATTTGAATGAAATAGAATTTATCACTTGTGTCTATTTCATTATTTTGTTTATTCCTCATTTGTTTACCTTTTATCTGTGTTTTTCTATCACTGGATCCATCCTACCTTAGTTTTCTGCGGGAGGGGTTGTATGATGTTACCATGGTGGAGTACTGGAGGTGCCGGCGAATGTTGGTTCGTTGCTGACGTTCCTCGGGAAGTCTTCGCAGTCATCGTCCGCTGTAGTCACTGAGAGCCACATTCTTCCACGTCTGGTTGTCTGACGGAGGGCCGTGCTGGTAGTCAGTTGACGGTGGAATGGTGTAGCAAAACCTCGGCTGCAGGCAGCGGCTTGGCCGGTGATATCACACCTGCTTGTCCCGTTTGTGTTACTAACATTTTGAATACCACGGTGTTTGTCATAGTAGTCTGAGTTACAGAAAATGCCCGTGAATTTATTCCTTCTGATATCTTCTACAGTTTCCAAATTTTGAATTTATTTGAGAGATTGCTTTAAATATCGAGCTTGGAATACCATTTCGCAGTAGTGCTCTTCGAGAGAATTTCAAGTCGCGTCGTATTTTGAATATATAAAGAACTTTACGTCACTGTCTTCGCTATACCTTCTCTAATTTCAGAAAGATATATTTCTCACACACGTACAATAATATATAATTAATATAATAAATATATACAATATTTTTTTAATTAACTCTTCTTTAGTTTGTTGTATTTATCGAATGTCCATATGAAATTGAGTCCCTCGGTCCGGAAAATCACGTGGCATTTTTACATCACAATAAATTTAGGTTAAGATTTTAAAAAAATGTCCACATCGTGTCTGTATTGATCCATTTATTTTACAGTAATAACTATGATAATAGATACACAATCATTGTTTTATTTAATTTGTGTCTGTTACTACAAAGTGCCATTGTAGTAGTGTCTTTTTCAAAAACTTTCGGGGCGCGATGTACACTGTATAGCTATATACAAGTTTGAAGTTCGAACGCAACCACAGTTCTACTGAAAACACTTTTATACAGACTGTAACTCCTGTTTTTATACAGACACTACCGAAAGTTCCTGTTCGGCCTCACGCTTTGTCTCAATATTTACAAATGTATTAAATGTTCTGCGATTGCAATCTCTCCACTTCGAGTTCCACTTCGGCTTCAGAAGCAACTGCATGTGTGTGCCTTGCGGTAGCGCTCAAATGATTCATCTTTATGTAGCAGCAGACAGGGAGATGTGGGGAAAAAAATATCTTTGCATAATTATGTACTTTGTAGTCGTCCAATGATGAATTCAAACATGGCCGCCGACTGCATAGTAATTAATTGATTAATTATGCAACACAAATCACAAAACCTCATCGTCTTCATCTTGTTTGTTTGTTTACGTAATTTTTCGGAAAACTTTACGAGCTTTATATTTCTCATTTTTATATGAAATCCTTTATGATCGAGCCTACGCACTTTGTCACTGGGGGTGAAAATATTGTTTCGCTTTTCGCACTTGACGACAGTTAGTGGAAGCATGTCTGAAGCCCTTAGTGGGAGTTGGCGGAAGCAGTCACTTACAGTAAATGCTAGTGTGCTGTTAGCGACTGGTGCGTAGGCATGGACTGAGGGGACAACATCGGAGGGCTGTGTGAATGTGAATGCTGACCCATGGGGGACCCATGCATGTCTTGATGATGATAACCCTGATGTAGCCCATGTGGAGGTCCTCCCTGCATACCTTGTGGCCCACCTTCCATCATACCATCAGGTCCCCCTAGTGTGTTCGGCGGCGTCATTCTCTTTTCTTTCTGTCGCCTGTTACAAAACCACACCCTCACAACCTCCTTCTCCAACTGCAAACTGTCCGCTAATGCAGTAATTTCTTGTGCTGATGGCTTCGGCTGTTTGTGAAAATGCTGTTCCAAAGCTCCTTTCACAGAGACTTCGATACTGGTCCTCTTTTTCCGTTTTCTGCCCTGTGCTGCTATTTTGTCGATGCTAGTGGGAGACCCTGTCGTCGAATCGGCTTCTTCCAACCACTTCTGGAGTAACGGTTTCAACTTACACATGTTTTTGAAGCTAAGCTGCAATGCTTCGAACCTGCATATCGTGGTTTGGGAGAATACATTTCCGTACAGTGTTCCCAGTGCCAAGCCGACGTCGGCTTGCGTGAACCCAAGTTTGATGCGACGCTGTTTGAATTGTTTTGCAAACGCTTCGAGGTCATCCGACGTCGGAGTGTCTTCCTCACCTCCCGAAGGATCGCCTCTGGCGTCTGGGTGTTGGTGTGGGTGCTGATGGTGCAAAGGGGACGGGCTGTGGTTTATTTCCCTCAGTGAGTGGTGCAGCTGAGGACTCGCTTGGTGGTGATGGTGAGCTAGCATACCATTCATAGCCGCCTGGTACGCCGCAGCTGGGCTCGTGTGGTGCTGGAGCGGTGACCCTGCACCACTGGTCGAAGACGTGGGGATGTAGTGTCCTGTAGACACAACCGGTGCGTGCCAAGAGTGTGGAGACCCCATGCCGCCGGTTTGCTGGTGCGGCGGAGGCGCTCTCGGATGGTGCATACCTGGGACGTCCCCGCCAGGGTGGGGCGGCTTTATATCCACTGCCGCCGTCTGATGGGGGTGGTGGTGATGTGAGTGATGTGGATGCATTCCGGCCATCGAGGCTGTCCAGGGATCTGCACCTGACCCTGGCTGTAGACTGACCCATGGGTTATGTGCCGCTGCCGCGGATAATGACACCGGATGACCATTTGGTGAAGGCGAAGAAGGAACTTGGTGGTGATGGTGATGGTGGTGGTGATGCTGTGAGGGCGGCATATACTTCATCTCAGTGTTACTTGCATCGGCAGCAGACCGCGGCGAAGAAGTATGATACCCGCCGACTGCCGCGTTCACAATGTTCATACCGACCACACTACCTGCAGAAGTACCGTCCAAGTCGGCAGAGATTCCCGTACTAGCGGGCATGTAAGTTGTGGTAGCCATTTACTGCTACTCCCTAATAATAATAAAAAGGAACACACACACACACAGAAAAAAAAACAACACTTTTCTAGGAGTTACCCCCTTTTTCCACAAGTCCACAAGGAGGGGGTGCCTTTGCTCCGCGCGCGGGCGCCAGCCTGCTCAGACTTGTAAAAACACAGCACACACACACATCCAGCACACTACGGTGCAAGAGAGACGGAGAATACAGCCTCAAACTCATGCGTTATGCATGCGACACAACGCACTCCGGCTCACAAACTGATGCCCTGTGCCTCGACAGACCGGGTCCTGGGACCATGCTGCCCTTCCTCCGCGGCCCTAACCACTCTGTCTCTCTCGCACTCGTCACTGCGGTGCTCCATCTCACTCGCTCTCACACACGCGCAACGTCATCCCTACTTCCACCGTCCTTCCTTATCCCCTCCACGTCGTTTTGGATTGGTGGAGATTATGTTTGAGTGGCAGTGGTCCTCACACCAGAAACCGTGTGACGTCACAATGATAGTGTCGGCTGATTGGTAATAGTAAGCCCCTCCTATTTTACCAGCTGGTATGGATGTTTTGGGAGTAACAGTGGCACAAATCTTGTGGCACCGCGGGGAAGGAGGGGACGGCAATGGTGATGTCAACGAAGCAGAGAATAAGGAAGACCAGTAGCTCAGCAACCGTACACACGGGAAGTGCGACCGCTGTTTGTTCATGTATTAAAACAATAAAGATCATTATGACACCAACAGCTTTACGAGAGGGCAATACCAAACAACAGCTTTTTATATAATTGGATATATATGTCCAGGTTTAAACGTGTAAAATAATTAGATTCGCCATAAACGCTGACGTTTATCAGAAACGTGTGTGAGGGAACGTTATCCTTTGGGTAGGTAACCTCAGAGAATAAAAATCGTTGGCTTCAAGGTCCTCATTGTATGTTGCAAGTAACTAAAGTTCTTCTACACTATAATGATTACTCAAGCTTACAGATATTTTAGATACCAATTAAACTTCACGTGTACCTAAGAGTCCGTTCACAAATTGTGAGCTTTTAGCCTAGGTCCATTATCTGAAAAAAAAAAAAATAGAAGTAGGCTTATGTTGACATCATGCTGTCTGTGTGTCTGTGCACCCCCCTCATTAATTTCTGAACCTGTGCCAGTCTTTATGAAACTTAGTATGTGCATCGTGGCACCTAAGCCCGTTTCATAAATCCCTCTCATCAGTCTGTGTGTATGTGTATCTTTGCCCGGCAACGGCTAGGTAAAAACGTTACTGCTGCAACGAATACCCAGATAACAATAGAAGAATTGTTGAACTCAGAGTTTTCTATGTGGTTCGTGTTATATAAAAAATTGATTTCCAGAACTTGTTGTTGCAGGTTGCGAGGTCGCACAAAAACAAGCTTACAGCTATTCAGCTTACAGTGATAGCCAAAAAAATTAATCAGATAAATAAACGTTCTATTGTACTCATATATCACAAACAATAATTGAAATAAGTAATGTTACTACGCACAAATAAGAAGATAAGACGTGTGAAGTATCTCAGAAGTGTTTCTGAAATGCATGACAGACAAAACATAAAACCATATTCCAGCGCGCTGTAGTTAAGCCTATATCTCGAGACAAATAAATCTGTTATTAAAATACTATGTATATTATCATGTAAGTAAATATAGTCCATTTCCTTACACTGATTATTTGTTGCCAAACACCCGACACAACCCGGTCTTACAAGACCGCCTTCGGTGTGTGTGTGTGTCATTCTGTACAAAAAGAGAGGATTGAAATACGATTCATATGTTATTTAAAAGTTAAATTAGTATTATTTTTAAAATATATTGATTTAGGCCGTAATTAGAGCAGTTTATTTGATTACGGTGTGTCGTACCGTGCTGTAGGCTATAAACATTTAACCTGCCAAAAACTGCAACAAGACCGCAGAGTTCCACCTTATCGACATCTGAATAAAGAGTAGTTAGTAACACAGAGCACAGAACGACACACCGCAAACAACAATCCTGACTAACTACCTATACCAATGATTTTTAACGCTATACTAATTTAACCTCTATAAGAAATTTAGAATGCAAATAGTTTAATCTTTTATTTTTTATATAGAATGCTTTTTGGAAATTTCCTTTAATGTACAATACCCCCTTCAAGATAACCTGTAAGATCGAAACATGTCGGGGTTTTAACAAAATGAAATCAACATAAGGAAATTGCACTTACACGGTGATTTCTGCATTGTTTTAATATTACTAGTATGTAATATACTGGTAGAAATAGGAGGGCACGCGGTAGCGTAGTTGGTTGAGGCACTACGCTACAAGCCTTAAGATGAGTTCCGATGATGTGGATTTCTTCAATTTACCTAATCCTTCCAGCCGCACTATGGCCCTGGGGTCGACTCAGCCTCTTAACAGAAATGAGTACTAGGAATCTTCCTGGGGGATAAAGGGCGACTGGCGCGTAAGCCTGACAACCTCACCGCCATCTGTGAGCCGACTGTCTAAAAGATGTGGGAGCTTCGATGTCTCACAACCCTATGGACCTTCACGACCTGTTACAGGGATATATATTGGTAGAAATAGACCTCTCAAGACAAATATGGCAAACATGATTTTCATCATATTAACGTAAGCCTATTACGACTTACTGTGCGCATCGCTTGCAACCCTGACCGTCCGATAAATTTGAGGAGCGCTCAGTTAATAGAGACTCTGTATAGACGGTCGACATGAAAACGAAGTGATATTTTAGTCGTACGTTTATTTCCTTCTTTCTCTGAAACGGCAGGACGCATGCTCTAAGAAGACTTCATTTTTAATTTCAGAACCGAACACCAATCCACTAAAGGGTAACTTAGCAGTAATATTCCATTCATATTCGGAAGATGGTTGGTTAAAATCTCTGCAAAATGATTAGTCTAAGTGATGATATTTCTCTGTACAGGTCACATGCTGCACAATCTTTGGTCCACCTCATCTGACACTAAGTAACTTCTGTAACTGAACGAGTATTGCTCAACAAAACGCTGATCGAAAATAGGTAATTGATGACTTAAACAAAAACAGAGCTTATTTTGATTAAACATTATTAATACTTCTAAATAGAGTCGACAACCTGTAATTTCATATCCAAAACAAAAGAAAACACACACGCGCGCAAACACATAGGTTTCAGTTCATCACTAGAATAAAATATAACGTGAACTTAGGGTATACTGTATTTTCTCAATAATATTGTGATAGATTTTCTCAAAGAATTGCTAAGTAACGGCTCGGTAAACAACCCGCGACGTACGCGCGCGAAACAATAGAAGGATGTCCATCTCTAGGCAACAGAGAAGCAAACACGATGGGTATTCTTGGGAAGGGTGTTTTCGATGCGGTACTTTAGGTACGTACGTAATGCAACAATAGAATAACTGGGAAAAGTTTTCTGTAAGTGGCCCGTGCCGAGACTGATATAATTACTATGTTAAAATCGGTTACCAGGAGACTGACAGAGGCCTTCTATATGTTGTATACATTTAATAATATATGAAAGGTAAATTGTGCATACTGACATCGGACTCTACTGCTGATTGTGGCTCTGTCAAACGACAGACCAGTCTTCTCGTCAGAGAGAGCGTCTGACATCAGCAAACTTACAACTGTCTGACAGTAATAAAGATNGCTTGGCAACGACCCAGTAAACACGCTCTTGCGGTGAAGAATACAAGCAACAATAAACGAACTGCTGTACGCGTTGTCTTCTATTCACCCCATATCATATAAAAGGAGAATCTGTGGACTTGTCTGTTGCTAGGCAACGGCTCTACAACATTCCCGCGGAAACATAGAATTGTTTGAGGCGTCGTTTTCCATGCGATCAGTATCCTATCAAAGAAAAGTAGGCGATCAGATCTTCCTGGAGTTTTTTATTTAAACCGGGTTTATCAATAAATAAGCTACAATAAACAGGATTAGGTTGAGATCTGAAAATCCAATAAATTAGCCCCAAGCATGTAGCAGTATCAGCATTAGAACATCGCTCAAATTTGTTAGGGCAGCTGATGAACTGTTTATTAACCTATTTATATGGATCGAGGGAAAATTTCTGTTTTAATACCCACTGGGAGTGAGTCTTTAGTTTGTCTGTTTCGATATTATGTGATTCCTACCACGTTTTATAGAAACTGAGCTAAACTCAAATTGCAGATCCTGTGGTGTAAAGGATACAAAAGAAATGCACTGTATCTGAGTGGCCGAACGGTGCGCGTCTGCACTGTAAGTTTATCTACAACCAAACTTCACCCTCAAGGTAGCAAAATCGGGGACGTTCCGCTACACCGGCTGAGGGTGACAAACCTCGTGTTCAGGTGTTAGGGTAGCTATTGTTATTGTTAAGGGCAGTAAACATACGGCACGTTTCGAAAACATTCGCCCCCAGACTTTCCTTATATAAAACAAAGCAATTAGGGGCCGGTTTATGAATAGGCACGTACGTATCTATCCACGTGTGCATGTCATGTCCTCATGCAGCAGGAATTTCCGTCTACTTGCAAAAATGAAAGACCTATGTTCTTTCTGAAAGAGATCTTAGGTCTCAGAAGTGCTCTTCTCCTTAGCGCATTCCAATCGATCACGAATAGTTCTTTTTCCAATGTCTCTTCCAGCCCATTCAGGCCTCTTATTTAGTTCGTAATCAATTTTCACAGACGGTAGGACTCCTTGGATGAGTGATCAGCCCGTCGCAAGGCCGCTACTTAAAGACAGGATAGCACAAACACAGAATAAACGCATACACAAACCAAACATTCATGTCCTGAGTGGGATTCGAACCCGATCGCAGCGTCCGAGCGAGGGAAGACAGTTCATACCTTAGACCGCTCGGCTACCGTGACCGGCAGTGTATAAGAATAATATATAAGAATTCAGTTCGTACCTCACAGGAAACAGATCCTAACCCACGATCCCGGTTTCCAAGCGAGCTAAGACAATTCATGCCTTAGACCGCTCGGCTACTGTGACCGGCAGTGTATAAGAATAATATATAAGAATTCAGTTCGTACCTCACAGGAAACAGATCCTAACCCACGATCCCGGTTTCCAAGCGAGCGAAGACAATTCATGCCTTAGACCGCTCGGCTACTGTGACCGGCAGTGTATAAGAATAATATATAAGAATTCAGTTCGTACCTCACAGGAAACAGATCCGAACCCACGATCCCGGCTTCCGAGCGAGCGAAGACAGTTCATGCCTTAGACAGCGAGGTTACTGTGACCGGCATCCAGAATAGTCGAGGGAATACTATAGAGTTAGTACTGTGGGATATTGCTGAAAGTCCCGGGGAGTTGGTGGCAAACCTGCTTCGTACTCTGAAGATCCAAGTGTCAAATATCGGCCTGCCGACCCGCTATTCTGATTGGTTGTCCTCAGTTGTTCCAACCAAACTAAAAAAAAAATAGTATCTCAAAATAAAGATGTGCCTCTTCCTTCCACATCCCGTCTACTTTA